CTCTGAAACATCTCCCTGAGAGAGTACCCCTTGTTCCCGCCTCTCCAGGCTCTGCTTTCCCTTGGCCTGCAAAAAGAGCTCATTGTGTTCCCTTTTCTTTTCCTAAAAAAATAAAAATACGTATTCCCCATCCCCTAGTAAATACTGAAACTATTATTCCCTTCTTTAAAAAGTAGTTTCCATGCAGTACATTTCCTGTCTCAGCTCTGGAAGACTATGCACCCAAGCACCAAACTTCCAACCAGACACAGAGACATCCTCTGATAACGAAAACCTTTGCTTCCTCTGTCTGTGACTTTGCACCCAGTTGTTCAAAGTTGTTACATATCAAGACCAATCACATCCCTAGGACATACCTCCCAACTTTCCTGACTCTTATGTTATTGAAAACAAATAAACAAACAAAAAAACTCCTTTATGATGATATTCAACTTGAGTGGCTTTTTTTTTTTTTTCCACTTTGGTCCTGGATATAATGAAATGATACATAATATGACAAATTTTCACTGTGTATAGTAGCAATACGAACACACATGCCAATGTATCTTAACATATCTACTTGGTTACATTTTGGGTTACAATAATTAACCTTGATTCATGTATTGGGAAGCTACAGGGACTATGTAATGCCTGCTTATAATATAGGAAAATTATGTCCATGATTCTGAGCTCCCTTCTTCAAAAGCTTCCTCCGGGGTTTCCTATGTTCTCTCTTTATCCTGAAATACATTTATTAGGTTGTGAGGTATGTTTAAGGAGTAGAAGCCAGGGGTATGCTTTCGGCATTTATTGCAACCCAAAGTTAACCCCATCACAGTTAACGAGCATCTTTGGTCTCTTGTGGAATTTGAACTAAATCTATGAGCCTTTTTCAATATCTATAATTCTATGATTTTTTTAAATTATGGGAAATTAATGAAAGATGTTTACATGAATAATGTTTGCCCTTACTGTGTTATGAATTAGTTTTTTGTAGTATGTCTGGGTGCATGATGCAAGAGAGTAGGAAAAACGTTTCTGAAACAAAACTTGACAAATATTTGTAATGAAAGTAAATTTAAAGACTGCTATAACTGCGCTATAGAAACAATTCAAGTATTAAACAAAATACACAATCAAAACAAAAGTAGTTGCCATGAACTATGTTTTTTCATCACTTTTCAACCTCCTACAATCCAATACTTAGCAGATTTCATAATTTAACATCTCTAATTAGAAATAAATCTTACATCCAATGGCATCTTTACAACTCTAAGTGGCAATATTCTTCTTGTTTTCCAGTGGTATATAAATTAATGGTGCATCATTTACAAGGTGGCATTTTAGATTCCATCAACTGTGGTATGTATAATGCATGGTCGAAAGATACTGAGTTAGAACCTCTCCGAGGGCAAGAAAAAGAAACTGTTTCTTATTTATCTTGTACCTTGTCCTCTCCACACTCAGTGTTCTATTAAGTGATTGATTCACTTATTAATTTTAAATTTAGTCCAGTAGAACTAAATTTGTTAGCACATTTCATCTGAGATGTCTACTAGATATAAGCTCTATGAGAACTTCCAGGAAGAAATGGAACCATAAAACAAAGTCTTGCCTGTCAATCAAAAAATAATTCCAGTAATCTTGTCTACCCCTAAGTATTAAACTAAGCTCCCAAACTATGAACCACAATCATTTATATTTGTAAAATATATTTTTAAAAATATTTGAAAAATGTTAGTATTCAGACAAAAACCATTCACAATACCTAAACATATTTTGTCAATAATATTATGCAGTTAGAAACCATTTCTGTTGTTCAAAACACATCATCTTGTAGCTTCAGAAAACTATTAGCTACCATGCAAAACAATGCCAGGAAAACATTTTGACGTGCCCTATAGCACTTTGTAGGTTATTTGGTTAAAAAAAAAATCTGTTTTTATCTAGCTTAGACCAAATAGGCACCTTGTAAAGAAAAATGTGACTTATCATGTGGTCCAAATAGGTCAGAGTGCCAACTGCCATTAGCAGTGGGACAAGACTAGTCATTGATGGCCCATGTTCATTCGTATTGGTCAGTGCCCCTGTCAAACTGATTGTTAAATAAGCTTAATATCTCCCCCAGTCACTAATCATAATCCCAAATTAATTTATTCTTTTTCAGTAGTTATTTAATGAAAGTGACATTATCTTGAGAAATCCAGTAACAGGAATTTTATTCAAAACCTTTTCTGAGGATATTTTGGGGTCAGTATTATTTCTGTCCAATCTTTGTGCATTATCTCATACTTCTATATCTCTATAGTGCCACATACTGAGCAGAGACAGAAAGGGGACAAGAAGGAAAATCAACAGCTGTCAAAGCAGCATCCTAATCATTGCTCACATTTACCTAGAAGAAAGCAGGGAGTATAGAAACATTTATGACAAGAGGCGAAACAACTAGATTTCTTCTTGATCATTACTTTATTTCCTAGTTAAGTTAACTATCATCTCTCCACGCATCCTGCTCCAGTAAGAATTTTCTGTGTAAGTCTAGGGCTGCAGTTTATTAACAATTTTAACTTGCCCTTGTTAAACCTTATGGGAATCTGAATTGAGATAGCCAGAGATATCTGGCCAATTAATCATTATTATTTCTTGAAATCTGGATGTTTATGTATGCAGCTCCAAGCTGATTTGCATTCTGCACCAATTACAGGAATAGATCTGCCAGGAAGTTTTGAAATTCGAGGACAGATAGGGTTAAGTCAGAGCCCCAAACTACAGATTAGCCCAGCAAGTCCCTCCAAATCTTTTGCAATACACATTTGGTAATACGTGGGTCATTTAGTTCTGGCTTCCAGGCAGTTCAGCTAAAGGCTTAGGCTAGAGAATTGCAAAAGCTGATGATTTCTCACCAAGGAATGAAATGTGACGCAGTAGAGCAAACTGCAGACATTTAATACCAGATGTTAATGTAAAAATTGGAAAATTGTGACCCCCACATGGTTATCTGACCCATGGCCTGCAGAATCCCATCACAAAGTCTGTAAGTCATCATTATTCCTGGATTCCTCCACTGTGCCTACTCTTTGTAGTGTAAAATAATAATTCTGAGTCATATAACTGAGATAATTAGATCATATCAATCTTGAGGCATTTTGTGCACACACTAACAGAGTAATTCAATTTCTTACCATAAAAATCAGAAGTAGAGTTTTTCTGATTAGTTAGATTTCCTAGTGACTTTTTAGAAATAGTTTGAGACATTTTTATTTCCTTTGCCTTTCACACCTACCTAACGTCACTAAATGCTGTAGGAAAGGAAGGAAGGGAGGAGATTTTTATTTGCACTGAAAGGTAAAAGAACATTTGAAACATATATTTCTGAACATTTTTACACTGTTTACACATCTTCCCTAGATCTGCACATTTTAAATCTACACAGACACAATACAGTTTATGTAAGAATGATACACAAACTGCAAAGTGCTCTATAACTATGAAGAAAATTGTTCAAGCTCTGTTGTGCCAACTTGTGTCCCAAGGGAACAGAGGCTCAAAGAATCTCCTCTAAGCCCAGATTCAAGGTAGGGAGGACTTTTAAATGATCCTCTTCTTAGCTGGACATGAGTGTCTTACCTTCACATCTGGATACTTTTGTTACTCAAAATGATGAGAGAGGAAAGGAGGGTGTGGAGATATCTTCATGAATCATTAACAAGAAATTGAGCATTCAAATGACCCAGGTAAAATGTCACCACAGGGTTTAGCAGCTCTGTGGTAAGCTGAGAGAAAAGCCAGAGATAGCAGTGCATCAGGGGCTAGTCTAGAGAAATACAAACCAGTACAAGAGCCTGAAGAGCCAGGCCCTGCCCTCAAGAGAACACCCAATTCAGTTTCTTCTCTCTCTTTCTCCCTCCCTCCCTCCCTCTCTCTCTCTCTCTCTCTAAGAAAGGCAATTGCAAATACACAACAGACATCACTGACAAGAGCAGCTCACAGATTGGGTAAATGAGAAAAGGTCTGTAAGACCATCCTGTCCCAATTTCTCTGTCAATGGGCGAGGACACCAAGGCCTGGAGAAGTCAGGTGGCATGCTCCAGCTCACAAAGCAGCACCATCACCGTGACAAGAAGCCAGGGCTCCTGGTCCCCATTCTGATAAGCTTTGCTTGTTCTCACACAAGATGTGAAGGAAATCTTACCATTCAAGAGTCAAATATAATCCACTTTTTTTCTTTGAGGGATTGCATTTTATTTTTCAGAGAGTCAGATTATCTCAAAAAAAAAAAAAAAATATATATATATATATAACTGGAAAACTCTTTTCTCTCTCCCACCATCCTTTCCTCCATTACTTTTTCCTCTCTCTTGCTTTATCTGTCTTACTTTCTTCCTCCCTCTCTCTCTTTCTTTCCTTCATAGATATATGCATCTGGAGGCAGAGGAGAGAGCCAAAGATAGCAGAGCTCAGTCAGGGAAACTCGATTTGCAATTGCCTATAACAGCTCAAAACTTGGACTGAGATTTTAAAAACACAAGATTATCAACTTAAATCTTGAATCTAGAAGAAAATAGTTTTTCTTTCCAAATAATTTGATAACATTTATGTAAAATTAAAATTTTATTATTCCCCCGTGCCCCCACCATCACTACTCACCTCTCATCACTTTTCATCTTCAGGTTCAAAATAATCCCTGGCACTTGTAATTGAATGATCTCGCAATGGGTGTGTGAGTTTACTTGGATCTCATGGGGCCAAAGTAAGCGGATAATATGTTTCTCTCACAATCATCCACACTATTTGTTTATAAACAGCCTTATTTAATTTAAACTGGATTTGCAAAACTGGACCATTTCTAATCTTTCCTATCCCTTACACGTAGGTCCAATTGTTTCATTTTATTGTTGACTCTGGTTCTAACAATGAGTACATTTCCCTCAGCATGTAAAGCAGAGAAAAAAATATCCATGGACTAATGTAACAAAAATCTCCCCAATGAATTTCCCATAAAGAAGAGATAAAACATCAAGTACCAATAGTGCCAAAACATTTACTGAAAGTTTTCAAATCTTGCAAAAATATTACAAAAAGTGAGCAAACGTGGTGAAACTAATGACAAATTAGACATTGAAAACTAACATCTGGGTAAGTGTAGGCAGGCATGTAAGGGAAAGAGAACTTCCATAGGCAGTTGTTATGGTACACAACCGCATTTGACTCTTTTACACATATTATGTCACTTGATCCCATTTAGGAAAAATTATCCCAGACTTGGAAATTTAGATTTTAAAAAATAGTGGCCTATACATATCACATTAGCTCATTATCCATCAAGCTCACTCAAGTGTCACCTAACTCTCTTGGGAAATGTTACTTTGACCAAGAATTTAATAGGGACCAGATTAAGGACTCTGTGGAATTAGAAGTTGACTTGTAGAAAACCATTAAGACATGATGCTTTATTTTTGCTTTCTGGTAGAGAAATGTACCTCCACGGTTATAATTTTATTTCCCTGTAGGACACTAACCAGTTTCATATCTTACTGGCAATTTCATTTTATCAAAGCTTTCCCCACTGACTACTTAAATTCCAGTTTTTTCATATTCTCTTCCAATTTCTCTGCTATATCGATGTCAAGTTAACTGGAACTTAACTCATCTGTTTATGAAATAATTATGTTTTTAATAATTTCAGAATTTGTGCTTTGACAACCATCAAACAACCACATGAGGTAGATAGTATGTCCTCATTTGACAGAGGAAGAAACTGAGCCTCAGAGAAGGCACATTATCGTCCAGGTTTATAGAGATAAGAAGTGACAGAACTGAGGTTTTCACACAACTATGCCCAAATTACTTGACAGGAAAGACACTGATGATTCACATGGGGACTGAACATTTGAGCTGCAACATCTCCAAAAAAATCAACCTTACCCACATATGTTCACTACACATTTGAATTATAAACATGACAGCTGAGCATCAAAAGCAAGTAACTTTAAACGATCTAAACCTGACTTTTAAAATAGTAATTAAAACATTATTTATTAATTTGTTTGGCTTCAATTCTGAAGCTTTAAAAATTGGAAATGTTGAAAATATTTGCCCATTGTGTGAAATTCCAATGCTTTGCTGATTCCATTAATGGTCTGGATGATGCTCAGCAAATTACTACTGAGGTTGTTAGAAAAGCCATTGAAAAGTATTTAGAATACTTAGTGGCAAGCCTCTCTGACATTTCATAAGCATGTCCTTACATGACACAGACTCAGAGCTTTTTGAATGAATTTGATTAAATTACCAGCCTATCCTGCTGCAAAGATGTTCACTCTCCTTTGTCTCTAGACTGGTAGAAAAATGAGAAATATAAACACACTTTTGTATTCTTCAGGTGTGAAGGCCATTTGTTGTCCTGGCTGAACAGACAGGTAGATATCAAGACTAAAGAGTGACACGCAACTCAGTCTGAAAGCACCATAGTACACACTTTAAATTTTAAAAGTATACCTCGGGAAAGGCTGATCTTACATATATGTGTTTATCTGTCAACACGCATGCTTTTCGGCTTGGATATATATACCTTTAAAATGCACCCTTTTATCCGCCTGAGGATCCATTCAATGTATATGCAGCTTTACAAGTTTTTCTCCATAAATAAGATTCTAAAGTTCAGGTCAATTGTTATCTAGGTTGATTTTAAAAAGAAAAAAAAAATCTGTACTTGTAACAGTGTTTTGTCTACCAAATCACAAACTAGACAGTGACCCTCTGGCCTGGTTTTCCATAGCACACACTCCTGTTTCATGGGCATTGGCAGCTGTCTGCCGCAGATTTCAGTTAAGTGAGGCAATCTGCCCGCCCCGCCTCTTGCCTCAAATCTCAAACTCTGGAGCCAGCAGAATTTCAGCTCCACCTGAAGTGAAAAGATAACTATGTGGTTTAAATTCATATTGACTCACAGTTTCACTGTTTTATCCTGGCCAAAGCTGCTCACTGTGTCTGTGGTTTTCTTACATAAATTTTCAATCCAGCTAGTGCTATTATAATGTGTCTTTTCCAGCCCTGATGTTGGGGGTGGATTTTTAGCTCGCATATTTTTTCCAGATGTGATAAGTTCTCCATAGCCCTCTTGGTGAGCAAAAGCATATCCAGACCTTCTTGAGCTTGACCTGCGGGTCCGAGGCCTTCGGCTACTTGGAGGCCTTGCCTTCTTCTGAGCCTTCTGCCACCGGCGGATCTGGAGACAAACAAGACCCAAAGTGAGCTGAGGCATCCAAATGATAGACTCCAGGCAGTGGCCCACTTTGTAAAGTGAAAGCCTTTTTTTAAGTAAAAACAACATTGCAAAAGGAAGTTTTAAATCTAAAAACTAAAAAATTTTCCACCCAAAAGATGACACTGGGGGCACTCGTGCATTTTTACTTCTATCGAGAAACTATTAAGTAATTAAGAAATACCAGAAAAATGTCATTACTGTCTCTCATATATCTTCAATGTACACAAGCATACTTTTGCATAGAAAGATTTTCTAACATGCACCGCCCAAAGTCAGCATAATAATTTATAATTTCATTCTCCCAAAACAGCCTTTTTCCTCTCTTTCAGGGATTCTCTGGATCTAACAGTCGTCAGTAACTGGACTAGAAGAAAATTGAGAAAATGAGTCAGAAATACTCAATTTTTGCAGTAGGTCAATGTATCATGAGACTTCCAGGGTTTCGATTTATTTTAGGTTTGCATGGCCTTCCTAAATGTTCCACATTATCTGAGTAGGTTTCCTACAACTCTTTCATTTCCCTGTAAAGCTAAGGAGAAAAAGACCTGAGGTTTGTTGTAAGCGACCTTGTTCTCCGGTTTGGCAAATCACTTGGATTCTGACTTTGTGTCAGGAGAAAGCCATCAAGCAGAACATCACGATCGAACTTACAGGACAAATGAGCACAACCTTCCTTCCTTAACTCATCCACCATTTTCTGGGTTTATGTCAGAATGAGCTTGGAGAACTGAAGAGAGGACAGATATGACAAGGGACTCTGAATTCTTCCAGAAGGAATCTTTTTAGACTTTGGTCCCAAAATGTCAGAGACATGATGATGAAAAAAATGTCTATCTCTGTCCACCTCGGTCTCTCTCAGCATCACTGGCCTGGTCCCACTCACCACAGCAGCATGTTCCCCCTTCTCATGACATGGCTACGAATGTTTGTCTCCCTTTCTTTCTCCTTTTCACGTTTTATCTGAGTCCTGACCTAAGTTGACATTGTCCTACTTACTTGTCTTCCCATGAAATTCTGAAATATGTTCTGTTAATTCTCCAGTTAAGGAATTTCTATAACTTGTTCTTCCTACTTTCCTTCCAAGTTTACTAATCTACCCAGCATGCCGCTCTTCCCCTTCTTAATCTGTTCCGAAGGTAACATCTCACCCATGTTTCTGAATCTGCTACTGGATTTCTACAAAAATGTTAAGCCCCTTTGACTCGTACCATGCTTGTCTCTTTTACTGTGCTTGTGCTTGCTCTCAAATCAGTATCTTTTTCTATAGCTTGCCTTTCCCTTGGAAAAATTGTCCAAAATGAGGCCTGTGAGCTTCTTTTTAAGACTCAGCTTTTTAAAATGCCCAGTTTAACTTGTAATTTATGACTCCCCATCCACATTTAGTATAGATGCCTCTCTTCATTGGCACTAAGGACTAGTACATTCAAGATGCGGAAAGTCCCATCTATTCTGATGTGATCTAATAAACCAGTAGGTGTTTGCTTGTGACAATTTCATTAGCCCATCTCTGAGCTTCCAATAAGACAGAAAAGGACACCATTTCAAGAGCCAAAAACCAGCCTTCAAGTATTCATCAGCACTGTGACATACCTGATCACTCAGGGTTGGGTATAAATTCACCTTCAAAAATCTGAATACCACCACTGGCAAAACCGAAGCCACTGTTGTTAAGAGAATTACCAGCCAGATACACTTCTGGGTCAGGGAATGTCGTGCATTACCTATTATTAAAGAAAACATGCACTGTGGTTACAAGTAGGACTGAATTATTAATTAACAGGTTCTTTGCTCCTACAAGATCTTTTTTTTCTTTTCCTTTTTTTTTTTTTTTTTTGAGATGGAGTCTCTGTTCCCCAGGCTGGAGTGCAGTGACGCGATCTCGGCTCACTGCAAGCTCCACCTCCTGGGTTCACACCATTCTCCTGCCTCAGCCTCCCAGGTAGCTGGGACTACAGGCGCCCACCACCAAGCCCAGTTAATTTTTTTTTTATATTTTTAGTAGAGACAGGGTTTTACCATGTTAGCCAGGATGGTCTCGATCTCCTGACCTCATGATCCGCCCGCCTCAGCCTCCCAAAGTGCTAGGACTACAGGTGTGAACCACTGCGCCTGGCCAAGATCTTTTTTGAAATGGTGGGATTTGGATCACCTAATGTCACCATGATGATAAGAAGGCAGAAGTGCTAAGATCACCCTCAGGAATTGCTTAGTGGCCTGATCACTTAGAGATTACCAGCCTGAACCAAGCATTCTCTCACCCAGACTCAGTCTAATATCACTCACGGAGCACAATTCTCTCTTCCAGCATCAAGATCTTGTGGTTACAAAGCAGCCATTATTTTTAAAAGGCACATTTACCCTTTACCCTTGTGGACTCTTGAATTAAAAGTGTCATATCAAAACTACACAAAAAATCTTCCAGATGCAGATACAGTCTCAAATAATGATTGCATTGATTGGCTTGTCATAAAAGGGGAGCTTTTTCTACTGCAGGACCAACCTTTTAAATTCCAGGCAATGGCCTGAGAAAACTCGCCTCAGAGGGACTTGTTATTTCTTTATTGTTCATTTGGTTATGAGGTCCTCAAAGTTCCAAGATCAGGAAGGCTCCTGGGTTTGTGAAAAGAGCATTCCCTCACCAGGAGACTGTTGATGCAGCCATCCAACATGCTAGGGCAACAGGACAGTGAAACTCATTTCCAAGCCTGAAGTCAGTTTCCTTACTCTTTACTCACACCTCACATACCCCAGTGTGGGCTTAAACAAGGCAATAAGGGTCAGTAAGGCAGGCAGACAAGCTCCATGGGGAGATGACAACCCTGCTTATATCACCAAAATAAACTTTTGTCCCTGTTCATTTTCTAGAGATTTGTCATCATACCCCCAATTATCCAGGTCCCCTATCCCAGTATTCAAATGTTACCACCATTCAAATGGGCTTTGGGTATGAGTGCTTGGCTACTGAATGGTATGTCTGCTTTTTCTGGCTTTAGAGAAAGGAATCTGCCTGCCCAAGAGCAGCTGATTCCAGTTGGCTTCAGCCATGGGCAGAAACAAACTTGACTCAATAAATTAAATGTCTCTTTGAGCTCCTTGAAGCTTGGTACCCTCAGGCATGACTGGGAAAACAAGCTTCACTTTGAAACCACACTCCTGCTTGCTGCTAGCTACTAAGGAAAAAAAAATTTTTCCTGAAACCCCAATGTTGATCTAACTTTTAAAAAATTTCATTGGCGCTCAGTAATTAATTACTGAAATGGCATGTGCTTAGCTGGAAAGAGTGGTCTCTGCACAAATTACTTTCTCCAGTTGAGGCATTCTCATCTCATTATGCATCACAGTGCTCTCTTAGGACAGAAATCTTCCAGTCAATACACTGAACTTTTCAATTTGGCAAACCATCTTAAAAAAATAAAATAAAAATAGTTTTAGTGTCCTTGTTTCCCAATATGCTTATTCTTACTCATGACCAACATGTCTCTACATAGTTGGAATCTTCTGGTAAACAAAGTATTACCAGTACGTATTAAGTAAGAGTGGTGCAACTTAAAGATTTCCATTCACATGTAGGAAAAGGCAAAAGGTGAAGAACAGTTTTAAGTGTATGCATGAATTTAAATTGAATTACAATTTCAGGTGCCTTTGCATCAATGTGGATTTATAACCTTACTAACCTTATAATCCTATTTCAGTCCTTGTGGTCTTATTTTGTTTTCTACATAAATTAGTCCAAGAATTTACTTCCTCAATTAGTGAATACAAATCTCACTCTTGCCTGATTAAGTTCAAGAATGTTGGTCACTGCGCATCTCTCTTTTCCAGTTTGTTTAGATGAACTTGGTTAGCAGTTTATTTCACACACACTAGAGATTTCAAAACCTCTGAGAAAGTATATTAATATCCCTCTTTTATTAAGCTCAGTGGCCTTTGCTGGGAGTCCTTTTGAAATGTGGAGTGCAATGATAGTATACCCCACACGTAGACTAGAGGTATACTCTTTGTAGAATAATAGAATTTTTTTAAGGGATTTTAGAGGGTCCTTTGCTACTCATCTGATGTTCAAATTCCTCTGCAATGTTCCCACCAGTAATCAAGCCACATTTGCATGAATAATAACAATCACCATCATCAGTTAACATTTATTTAAAAAGTACTATGTACCAGGATATATGCTAAGTGCTTTATATGTATTATTTCATTTAATCCTCATACATTTTCCATGAAAATAGGCTTACTAATATCCTCAGTTTATAAGTGAAGACATTAATGCATAGTATAATGTTGTGAGCTGTATGTTTAGTCTTTTTCTGTGTTTCCTGGCATAGATTTAAAACTCCTTGAAATCCTCAAAGTGATATGTGTCTTTTTGTTTGTTAATGAGTTGACTGATGGCTGGAAGTCCCTAGGTAGCTTCAGGATTGGGGCTGGTCATTGAAAGACTAAGGTAGGATTAGAGGGTTGGGACTTTCAGCCCCAGCCTCTAAGCTCCTGGAAGAGAAGAGGGACTGAAGGTTAAGCTGATTGCCAATGGCCAATGACTTTGTCAATCATGCCTATATAAAAAATGTCTCCATTACAGCCTTAAAGAACAGGGTTCAAACAGTTCCTAGGTAGCTGAACATGCAGAGGTTCTGAAGGGCAGCATGCCTAGAAAGGGCAGGGAAGGTCCACGCCCCTTCCCCCATACATTCTCTATGCATCTCTTTATCTGTATCCTTTGTAATATCCTTTATAATAAACCAGTAAATGTAAGTGTCTCCCTGAGTTCTTTGAGCCACTCTAGAAATTAATCAAACTCAGGGAGGGGGTTCAGGGGAACCGCGATTTATAGCCAGCTGGTCAAAAGTAGAGGTAAAACATCCCGTGGTTTGCTACTAGCATTGGAAGTGCGGGGGCAGTCATACAGAACTTAGCCCTCAACTTGTAGGATCTGACACTACCTCCAAGTAGATATTGTTGGAATTGAATTGGAGAACATCCAGCTGGGGTTCTCTGCAGAAATACCTCATTGGTTGTTGGTGGAACGAAATCCCCACTTCTCAGTGACCAGAGGTCACAGAAGTCTTCTGTGTTGCTTGCTGAGTGAGAGTATAGGAGAAACTGAATTTGTTTATTCCTATATATTCTCACGTGGAAAGAAGAAACTTGCCCAAAGTCACACAGCTTGTTAAGTGGTAGAGCTGGCGCTTGAACCCTGACTGTCTAACTACAACGCCTACTCCTCATGCCACTTACGGATTAATGTCCAGGAATTTTTAGAAGGCTCTATATTATACTTTGTTTCATTCTTATCTAAATGCAAACAAGCTTTATGGGTGAATTTTGGCAGATGTTGGTGATAACGTGGCATAAAAGGAGAGTCTAGTATTTCTTTTTCTTCTCTCTACCATATATGAGCATTTTACAGGTCTTCAGGTAGCCGTAATGTATGTGCTATGCCTCTCATTGGCAAGGAGACAGCCTACTACATGTAAGCTGTTGAGAACCTGTAAGCTACTATGAGTGATTCTTCTGCATCCAGTAGAGGCAGCAGAAACTGAGCTTTTAGAGCCACTTTTAAACTTGGAAGCCTTCAGATGCCTGGCTCAATCAATTTCTGGACAAAGGATCACTAATCATCCCCAACTCTACCTAACACAAAAAATAAATTATAAGACAAGTAAACAGCAGCACGACAAGTAAACATGACTCACTTACCAACAAATGGAAACTGGTTTGGGAAGATGCCAAAGATGCCATTACTGTGCATTGTAAATAAAATGGAGAAATAAACGGCAATGCTCCCCCAGATGAAGACATGATTAATGAAAGTCCAGTAACTGGTATCCAAGGCTATCTGTAAATAAAATCAAATGCAAAGGGGAGGGCTTTGAGGATTAAAAGAGCACCATTTATCTAGTGATGTTTCCCCAGAATGGCCCTGTGGCAGGAAGGTTGCACCTGCCTAGTTGCCAAGTCAACCATGGGCATCCCCACTTTCTGAACACACACAGGGGACTGATCTGACTTCATATTTCTGGCAGAAAATTGACTTTACAACTTCTATATGCAAGCCATTATATCTGCCAAGGTCGAGTCAGAATCAGGAGGTGAGATGTTAAACATGTTAAACTTCTTTTAAGTGAGAAATATGAAAACACAATGGCTTATAATTTTTAAGTTACTTTCCAAATGCCTCTCAAAACTTTTCTATTGGAAAAAATTCTTTCTGTAATGGGCAAGTGCAACATGTTATACTCGGTAAGTAAATGTTCACAATACCATTTTTACACATGCATGATCTTTTTTACACCAACATCCCAATTCATTTTGATGATCCTTTCTCTTCAATTACTCAACTTATAACAAAGAAAATTCTTCAGCCTTATTTTGGCATAAAATTCAGAAACTGGGATTCACGATGGCCTGGGAACATGGTCATGAGCTCTTCTTCCTTCTAGTAACTTATTGCGGCAACTCAGCTGAAAGAGTGGTCTGCTATTGGAGAATCAAGGACGCCATTGGTAAATATGAACACCTGAGTTTTCAGAGAATTAAAGAAGTATGTTCTGGTATCATTATTTGCATCTCATAGGGCCCAAGTGATTCAGGTCCAAGTGAAGGTTTGCATTTCTAGTAGTTTGTTGCAAGACGAAAGATTTCTCATCTGTCTGAGGCGGCCCTACCTGCTTAGTAAATAAATCCCTCTCAACATGCTGAGAGATACTTTCTCTTCCCACTTGTAATTTACTGTCCCTTAAAATGTGTCCCCATTAAAATGATGCTGGCAGCCTTTGATGTGAACTACAGGGTTTATAAAAGTACAGCCTTTCCTCTCCTCAGGAGGTCTGAAAACAGCCCTGCCTCCCATGCCTCAGCAAAGACATGCCTGCTTTCCAGTTCATTTGGCTGCCAAGACATTTCACCAAAATCTCCAACTTTATCTTCCACCACCTGTTAGTTTAACATTCTCAAGAGACAATGATAGCCTGATCTGTGTGGGTAAGAGTAGGCGAAGAAAAATTACAACCCATTTAAAAGGATTCAGCTGAAAAAGCAAGAATAGGTGGCTCCTATTGAAGCAGAACTAATAGAAGAGACAGACAAGCACGGTAACAACAAAATATAATAAGACCCCTTAAGAAGATGGAATTAGGTCTCAGAAAAAAATCTGAAAGAAAAACACACTATTTCTGAATTTAAAAATTCAACAGCGAAACTAAAGAATAGTCAATGAATAGAACTAAATTAACATTCTGGACAAAACAATACAAATAATATCTTACAATAGAGAACAAAAACTTGGAGACATGGAAACCATTTGCAAAAAGATATGAGACATGAAGAGCAGATTCATAGATCTCAGATCTATGACCCCAATATACAAATAATGGCATTTTAGAAAGAGAAAAAGGAATCAATGGAAAAGTAACAATCAAAGAAATGACAGCAGAAAACGGCTCTGTGATAACAAATAGCATAGACTTTCAGATTGACAGGGTCCTTTAGGTCCTATCCAAAGTAATGAAAGAAGATTCTGGTGACATAATCTTTTATGCAGAGAAGGAAAAAGAATCAACCTAACATCAAACTATCACAGTGAAAAAGAAGGGTAAGTAAGATAAAAACGTTGCCAAAACTGTTTAATTGAAGAAGCATAAGGAAAGGTTTAGAACAGGATAGTGAGACATTTGATGAAGGATAGAATTTCATATTATCTGTGGAATTCCATTCTGCCAATATGGAAAGATATATATATTTAAATAACTATGAAAATAAAGAGAAATCACTAGTAAAATAAGAATATAATAGTAAAACTTGTAAATTATTCATTAGAAATGGGATTTTTTGTTGTTGTTGAGATGGAGTCTCGCTTTTGTCGCCAATGGCATGATCTCGGCTCACAGCAACCTCTGCCTCCTGGGTTCAAGTGATTTTCCTGCCTCAGCCTCCTGAGTAGCTGGGACTACAGGCAAGTGCCACCACGCCTGGCTAATTTTTTTGTATTTTTAGTAGAGACAGGGTTTCGCCATGTTGGCCAGGCTGGTCTTGAACTCTTGACCTCAGGTAATCCGCCCACCTCAGCCTCACAAAGTGCTAGGATTACAGGCGTGAGCCACTGAGCCTGGCCAGAAATGGGATATTTTAAAACCATAATTAATGCATATAAGTATGAAAGAGTAAAAAAAAAAATTGAAAAGCAGAATTAAAAGTAATCATAAAATAATATAGCCTGATAAAATACAGGTTATTACAATAAAAATGAGTAGCTTAAACATTCTTATCAAGGAAGACTGATAGAATGAGATTAAAAAATAAATGGAAATGAAGAAATTGGCCCAGATTATGTATCGGGCAAATGTAAACTAAAAAAAGCAAGAGAAGAAAACTAATATAAAAATACAAAACTTAAGAATCTTTTATTATGAAAAAAGATAAAAGCTACAAAGAAAAATAATCAGATACCATTTAATACAGATACAATAATGATCAGAAACCATTATGTGGCAAAGAATATAGCTTAAATTATATGAGGTAAAAATCTCTTTGAAACACAAGGAAAACTTAATAGGAATCATAATCACAATGGCAAACTTTAATACGCTTTTCTCAGCATTTGACAGACCTGATGGCAAAGGTGATGGCTCTTCCGGAAGTCTGTGGCCAACCTGTTGGCAGCCCGCCCGCAGTGTGATGACAACCAAACTGTAAGGTGTGATAACAGCGGCATTTCCACGGAAGATACCTCATATGTTTTAATAAACCTCTTTTTTTGCTTAAATTTTTAAAGTGTCTGTCATTTGGAACTACTATCTTTTTGGGAAAGTATTATGGCAATATTTATGAAAATGTTAAATGTACACACTCTCTGACCTAGCGGTGAAAACAGCAAAATACCATTCTTTATCCAGCAGATTGGTAAAAATTAGGAGTTCTAACCCCAGAAGTCTCATTTCTAGGAATTTATCTGACAGTATATAAAATATATGCACTAATAGATGCATTGTAGCATTGCTTCAATAGCAAAAAACATATAGAAACATCTTGTATGTTTATCAATAGATGGTAAATAATTATACATTCATATTATGAATTTATGTGCAGCTATTAAAACAATTAAGATAGATCTGAATGTGTTGATTTGGAAAGCTGACCAGAACATCTAGTTAAGCGAGAAAAGCATATTACAGAACAATATACATAATTTTTATCCTCTTTTGTTAAATATGTGTGTATACATCGTCTCAAAGTACAGAAAAAGTATGGAAGGATTTAAGCTATGGTCATGATAGTAGTTAAAGAAGGGAAGGAAAAGAAGATGGTTCATTTTATTTTAAACACTTTTGTACTCTTTGGAATGTTTAAAAGAGCATTTTATAATTCAAATAAGTGAAAAATACTATTTTAAAGAACAATAGAGACTACTTAAAGTTGGCCTGTAGCATCAGCAGGACATAAGATTTATGACTGTAATTACAGACCATGGAAATTTCATGGGGTTGTTACTACGATGAAAAGTCAAGCTTAAACAGTGAGGAAAGGATATTAATGCTGCTGTCAAAGTGAGCTTATTCACAGAATTCCTGTAAGTTATTATTCTATATATTAAAGACTACAGTTTTTGATTGAAGCCAAAATTGCCTAGCTTCCATGGTTACAAACATTTACATACTTGGGTCTAAGAACTGTATGGTAAAACAGACATTTTCAGGGCTTCCTAGAAATAAAAACAACTGATAATCTTTTCCAAATAATTAGCTAAAATGACAGAAACTGGGAGTCTATATGCTCCTCACGTTGAAACTTTGCCATTGAAAGAAACATCTATGTGCTTGTCACCTATTAACAGTTTGTCTCCCATGTTAGCCAAGGGTGATACTGGTATCCTAGGTGTTCCCACATGAATGAGAGAGGTGGGGACTATGAATTCCCTGTACTGACTATGTGACTGGGGAGGCCACAGCTTCTACTTCTCTTTACAAAGAAGGGAGGTTCACATAGCTTTGGAGCTGGGCATCTGGAGTCAGAAGACCTCTGTTCAAATCCTGACCTACCACTTTTTGTATGACTTGGTTGCTAAGTCTATTTTCTCAATGGTGGTAACAGTACTTACATTTCATAAGACCATAAAGATAATTAAATGAGATAATGGGATTATCCCAGTATCTGGCACAGTATCCAGTATTTCCTTTATGCTCAGTGTAAGGTTTGTTCTCATATTTCTTGAAAATTTTGTGTTTTAACCAGTCTCACTGTAGACTTTGTTCCAGATAACACTGGAATTAGACAGAACTGGGTTCTAGTACTGGCTCTGGGACTTACTGTGTGACCTCAGGCAAGTCATTTAACCTCTCTGAACTTTCTCTATAAAAGGGATTCATAATATTTACTGCGTAATGGCATCGTGAGTAGTAAGTATAATGCATGGTATCACTCATGGTGGTGATGATGATAGAGGTCTCTGACAGCTGCCATCAAGGACAGGCCTGCTTTGGTCATCTAGGTTAACATAGAGTTGAGGGATAGGTGGGCAACACAACCAAATGACCACTAAATTCAATGTGGGATTCTGGATTGGATCCTAGAAGAGAAAAGAGTAATTAATGGAAAAACTAGAGAAATCTGAATCAAATCCGTAGCCCAGTTAATAATATTATACCAATGCTAATTTCATAGTTTTAACAAATGCACCATGGTGAGGTAAGATGTTAACATTAACATCAGAGAAGAGCTACATGAGGGTATGCAGGAACCGTCTTTGCAGTATCTGCAACTTTTCTATAAATTTAAAATTATTTAAATTATTAAATATTATTATTAAATATTAAATTATTTACATTTAAAATTATTCCAAAATTAAAAATTGTTTTTAAGAAATTACTCCTGTTTGAACAAGATGCATTTGTTGTTATTTCCTAGGCAACAAAAGGTTATCCATGTTTTAATTATAAAATAATTCAAAGTAATACTCTAAATCAGTGAAGGGCTGCTGAGAAGGGTAATTTGCACCCTTCAGCTGAAAATGATACAATCTATTTGGAAAGTCATGTGTCAAGTGCCTTAAACTTCCTTATGTCTTCTAGCCCAGAATTCCCACCTTTAAGGAGATAACCTTAGAAAATAACTAGAGGATCATGCTGAGAATTATGTACTATATGAAACTTTGCCATTGTATAACTTGCCACAGTCAAATGTAGAAGCAATCTAACAGCAATATGGTTGAATAAATTATGGCACATTCATATGGTGTAATACTATAGCCATTAAAAGGGATATTTCAAAGAATATTTTATAAATAAGATAAATGCTTGTGACACAAAGTGAAAAAATAAGACATAAAATTTATATACATATAATCTGATTTCCATTTTTTTATGCTAACCCTGATTTGTGTTTATGTGTGAATTTTAATTTTTCTCTGCATGTTTATACTTTTCCTGAATTTCCTGCAATGTATTCCTTTTATAATGAGATTAAAAGGATTTTGTGTTTTTAGGGCAGAGGCACCACAGGTGCATGCATGGCCTAAGTTTCTGCTTGGCTGCAGGAGGTGTGGCGACCACAGCACAAGCCACCTTCTGAGGCCATGCGGTACTTGACTCTCCTGGCACTGCCTTGCTTTTGAAGGCATCTAACATCTCTCATTTTTTCCCACACTACATTTCACAGCTGGGTCATTCTGCTGAACTCAGCACAGGAGGACTCTCTCTCAGACTGGTTGGAAACTTTGGACACATTTGAAAACTGTCAACACAGTCTGTAAACACATCAGTTACGATGATTCTTTCCTAGGAACTTGACACACCCAGATGAACTCTCTTGTTATGACAGGAGAGAATTTCCTCTCAACATCTCCCTCATTTATTCAATACTCAAGAAATATCCATTGTGTGTCTGTCACACTAACAGGTGATGTGCTCGGCTCTGGGTATACAGTGATTAATAAACATTTCCACTGCTTTCATGAAGGTTACGCTCTACGAGGTAGAAAGACATTAAACGAGGGAACACACAACTAAATTTGTACTTACAAGGGGAAGTGACAACTATGAGACACAATAATTGATTTCTATTCCACTAGAGAAAATAAAGGGGCCTTAGTTTAAATGAATTAACGGAGGCCCCTCTGAAGAAATGACATGTGAGGGAAACTAAGGGAAGAATGTTCCAGGCAGGAAAGTGCAAAGCCATAAGGCAAGCAAGAGACTCATGAATTCCAGGAGCAGAATAAAACCCAGTGTGGCTGGGGCGTTGTGAGTAATGGGATTGGAGGGATGGCTAGGACCACCATTGTCTTTGAGGAGATGGAAGGCAGAGAATAGATTTTGAAGAGACAAATGGCCATTAAGGTATGAAGCAAATGGATTTGGAAATCCTCTCGCAAAACATCCTGAATGAGGGGCCAATGGTTACTTTGAGCCTAAGTGTGAATCCCCTCTGAAAAAGCATGCATATCATTCTATATCATTCTTATAAAACTTGGATAATCAAGGGTGAGAAATTTCAAAAGTTTATCTTAAAAACTTCAAGCAACAAGAAGTCACTTGAAGCTTTTAAAATAAGCTTTTGAAATTCTGTAATTTTTTTGTGACTAAACAACGTTTTTAAAATATGAGAGTTTCTGTGGGTTCTCAACTTGAGAAAGTAGAAATGTAATTTCAACATTCAACTGGAATAAGAACTGTATGATTTATGAGAAAAACAGTTTCTAAACATAAAGTTAATATAAAAACATGGCACTGGCACTACTGTAATGGCACGTAAAACAAATTATGGGCAAGCAAAAAGAAAAAAGAGAAAAAGATGCATGGGCATAACAGCAGGCTTTTTCTAAAATTAGAAAGATTAAGTTAACCAAAAATTGTAGGGTTAATTGTGAACACCAGTTTCTCACACACACACACGCACGCATACATGCACACACACATACACACAAACATTTAATGCTTGTTACATGTCATACCTACAATGACTCTTCCAGGTAATTTATTATCCTTACTTATAAACAGATCATGTAAAGGACAGTATGAAGAATGATTTCTATTTGCTTTTTCTTCAGATAGTGGCCTTTTATTTCAGTTACTACCTTTCAAATAATCTCTTGGAGTACCAAGGAACAGGCCTGATCCAGAGGTGAATCAGCTATTACCACTAAAAAGATGTCCCTGTACACCCCACCATGGTCCTCTCTATGGAAGGAGAATCCAGAGAATCGGAAATGTACCCTCATGACAAAGAGAAGATCACCTAATTATTAACAGTTTGCTCAGTAATCAAAAGACAACAAAATAAAACAGAGGTCGCATAGCTTGCTGTACCTACTCAGAGCTACAGATTGTAATAGAGGAAAAGTTTTTCTAACTATGTGTGGTGATGCACACCTATAATCTCAGCTACTTGAGAGGCCAAGCTGAGGAATTGCTTACACCCAAGAGTTCCAGACAAGCTTGGGCGACATAGCAAGACCTCCTCTCAAGAAATAAAAATAGAAGCTTTTGTGAACTCTAACTCATTATCTAATGGCATTGACCACCATTCACATTAAAAAGGAAAGAGACACAACTCAAGATGGAAGAAAGTCAATGGAGCCTCAAAAAATCATCCCCACCAGAAGAGCTCCTCTGAGTGTGAGATTCGGATATGCCACAGACATAGCACTGAACCTCTTGAATAACTCCATAGAAATGTATTGCCAATTGACGAGTTGATGGGTGCAGCATGTCAACATGGCACAAGTATACATATATAACAAACCTGCACGTTATGCACATGTACCCTAGAACTTAAAGTATAATAATAAAAAAAAAAATTTAAAAAAAAAAAAAAAGAAATGTATTGCCAAACCTTAGATCTCACTTTAAAACCTGGCAGTTATTACGTCTTAAAGAAATCATGGGAAAGTTTCTCTTTCTGTTACTGGAATTTTTTTTCTTCAAATACAAGAAGGAAATAATAGTATAATCATTTCTCTTTACATACAACGCACAACCCAAAGAAGGGATACATTGTGAGGTTTCTACTAACATGGAGATTATAGACACCTAATGCTAATTCTCCTTATCTGGTAATTGATGTTCAAGCTTCCTGTTTTCATCTCAAAATGTGTACTTAAAAAGAAAACCCCAGTATTAGGATTATTTCCCTCCAACAAGTAGACAAAATCAATCAACAATGAAATAGAATTTTTAAAGTTGTAAACCCATCATGTTAAGGTGCTTACACCAACAGCGTTACCTGCACACTGACCACAATGACCAAAGATGTGGCCATAGTAACTGCAAAGGACTGGTAATCAGCAATATGTTGCCCATCTTCTCCAGCCACGTTGTAAAAGGCCCCATAGGGGATGAAGAAAAGGGCTAATGAGGTGTAGATTCCATGTAACACGCAAATGAAAAATTTACGCTTGTTAAAAAGTAGATTCAGCTGTCCTGGTTCGTAGAGCTGGGGACAGTCCATGCTGTTCTGGTCACTCACATCCTGTAAACAGAGTGTAATTTCAGTGGAGAAGGATTAAAAAGAGTCAGAGAGGCCTTGTATTCCCTATCTTCAGAAATAGCAAATGCCTGTTTAAACATGTCCTAATATGCACTACTCACTGGGCCAGAACAGGACATTATCTTGTTTGTATTCCCACAATAAACCAGAAGATAATAAAATGATCTCTACTTTACAGAGAAGGAGCTTGAGTCTCCAAGAGAGATTCATGAGAGGTCACACAGCTCGTAAGTAGCAGGACCAGGGTTTGATTTGAGCCTAGCTATTTGGCTTCAAATTGAAGTTTCTTTCCTACACTCTACTGCAGGCTGTCAGAAGCATTCATGCTCCCAGAATTCCAGCACATCATGGGCAGCCAATGGGCCCCAGAAGTTAATTGCCAAGGTAGTCAGTGGTAGTGACCAGGAGATGACAGCAGAGAGCTGTGGAGTCAGAACGGTCAAATCAGAGCTCATGACTTTGGAGGGAAGTGTGCAGGAAGAAGAGAGCAGAGAAAAGGGGAAACTGCATTTGGGATTCCAGGTGAGAAGGAGGCTGGGATGAGGATCCTACCCAGTGAGAATTTTAACAGCAGCTACCAGGTGTTCAGGACAAAGAAATAATATAGACAGAATGAGAAGGTTTGACACCAACCAGGTCCCAAGAGAAACTAAATGCTTCTCAAACCCAATACACAAATCGCCTGGGAAACAGATTGTGATTCAATAGGGCTGAGGGCCCAAGACTGCATTTCCAGCCATCTCCAAAGTAATGCTGATAACCACAGTGAGCACCAGAGCCAAATGCCAGAAAACCACCAGGAGCCGGGCGCGGTGGCTCAAGCCTGTAATCCCAGCACTTTGGGAGGCTGAGACGGGCGGATCACGAGGTCGGGAGATCGAGACCATCCTGGCTAACACGGTGAAACCCCGTCTCTACTAAAAAATACAAAAAACTAGCCGGGCGAAGTGGCGGGCGCCTGTAGTCCCAGCTACTCGGGAGGCTGAGGCAGGAGAATGGCGTGAACCCGGGAGGCGGAGCTTGCAGTGAGCTGAGATCCGGCCACTGCACTCCAGCCTGGGCGACAGAGCGAGACAAAAAAAAAAAAAAAAAAACCACCAGGAACATCAGAGGACCACAGGTGGAGGAGAAGTGGCAAAGTGGAAGCAACACAGGTGGTGAACTATTGTGGGAGAAGAACATTCCCCTTCCTGCTTGTGGGATGGCCCAGGTCTCTCCAGAGTCCCATGGAAAAACACTGGCATATTCTCTTTAGAAAGTCCTGTTTCAAGATGCTTTTGGATGCTTGTTCCCCTAGTTCAGTGACTGAGGGTTACGTGCGCAGGCTTTGAAACAAGACAGTCATGAGCTCAATCCCTGGTAGCGGGTTTAGCTGGTGTGTTATCTTAAACCTGTTACTTAATCCACCCGAGCCTTGGTTTCCTCATGCCCAGAAATGCAAACACTACCACCTCCCTCATGGAACTATTGCCATGATTAAACCAGTATGTAAAGTATTTAGTAGACTTCTTGCCACATCACAAGTAATAAATATGCCAGATGCTTCTATAAATAATTAATAAAATAATGATAATAACAATAGCAATAATGTAGCAACCTCAAAGTTAGGAGGCCTGGTTCTAGGCTTAGCTGTGTCGCTTATTGGCTGTGTGGCTTTAGGGAAATGACCCTCCAAGGCTTGGTATCTGCCTTAAAAAATGAGCAGATCTGTTGACGATTGCTGAGGCCTGTCTGGCATAGCATTCCACAATCCTGTGATCTGTTTAAGGGCTGAGGTTGACAAAGCAGGAAAGGAGAGGAGCAGACACTCAACTTGATGGTAATAGGAAGCCTTATTATATTTTTTTTTTTTTGAATTGCACAACCACCATCTTTTCCCAGAAACTGCTTTATTTTTATTATTTTATTCCACATTCTGGGCAGCTACAAAGCTCCAAGAAAAGAAACACTTGTAAACATGGGCACTGAGAAATGAATGTGCTTAATCCTTTACATCTAAGGTCTTTACATCTAAGGTTCATTACTTTTTGTATAATTCCATAAAATATGCCTTTCGCAAACTGCCCTTTTCACGTATGAGAAGAGAGACTACAACTGACTACAAAGTCAGCCGAATGGGAGACTGGAGTGAGCTCATAATGTGAAGATTTATATTTTGCAATAGACAGCTTTGGGCCAGAAAATGAAGCCTAGCAAACAGGTCTAACAACAGCCTGGAGAAAATCTGGTCTCCTTAAAAATACTTTTTTTAAAAAAACAAAAATCCTTTTTAAAAATAAGACACTCTAATTGTGCCACGGAAATTCCACTGGCTAGTCTTTCACTTCCCCACAGGCAGCCAGACTTTTTCCCCTTCCCAGGAAGTCCCTTCCAAGGCTCTGAGTATGCCAAGGATCTACCATTTTTGTGATTGATTCTCTCCTTTTTCCCCACTCAAGCACTTTGATGCTGGGACAAAAGAAATGTATGCTTTTTCTTTCCATGGCTATGGGGCTTCTCGTCCTCCTCTCCCACTGGCAGACTGCTCTTCTGGTCTGTGGCTCCTTTCTGAGCTGTGTGTAACAAGGAAGTCTCACTGCAGACGTTAGCCCCCTGTGTTCCAACCTAGCTCCATGACATTCTATCCTTGCATGGTTCTTTATAAGCTCTCAGAGGCTAAGGCAGCATTTCCCTGTGTGTGAACCACACACACTAGTTCTAAGACATACTAATTGATAGGTGCTATATGAAAGTAAAAAAAAGTAAAGTACAGTCATAGAAGTTTGGGAAATGCTGGGTTAAAATGAAGTTAAAGAGATTACTTTGTACAGGACTTCTACAGCCTTTAGAACAATATATGGGGTACGAATCTCTGAGAGGAGAGTAACCAACTTTTATCAAATAATGCTTTCGGGGAAGCTAGGGTTCAAGGGTGAGGAAGGCACAGTGGACCTGAAAGCATTTGTGATCCATACAAAAGCAACTAAAATAACTGCATTCCTAAGGCTTCTACTTAGAATTGTGTCTTCTACTTAGAACCCACAAAAAACCAAAAGGCATAAAAGAGAAACTAAGTTATAAAGATGGAAAAAACATACCTGGTCAAAAATCCCCATGGCTAAAACAGGCAGTGATGTGTAAACAATGTTAAAAAGGGTGATGAACCACTGGTCATAAACAGTCTGAAAAGAAATATAACATATAAATGAGAAAGACCATCCATAGTAGTGAGAATATTCACGTTTAAGTCGTGAAAATATTCACCTTTAGGTTAAATAACCAGGTTTTCTGAGGTAAGTGGGAGTTGACTTTTGGAATCAGACAAATATGAGTTCTCTCCTGGACCTGCCTCTTATCAGCTCTGCTGCCTTAATGGGATACTAGGTCTCTCTAAATAGCAATTTCATTATCTCTAAAGTGGTGTATACCCTTCCTGCAGCATGGCAGTGAGGACAATAATACATGCAGTACCCCTAACATAGTGCGGGACACGTATGAGCCCCCTGACCCTGTGGTGGGTTGCTATTTCATTCTCCAGGCTTTCAGTGGCTTGTAATGAGTCCAATTATCTGATCTAAGTGGTAAACAAAGGATTCACTAAAATCTTCAGAAATAAATATAGTAATGAGCCTGTTATTTCTATCCTGTTTTAAAATGGAGAGGTTTTTGCAGGGGAGTGGTTTAAAGTAAGATGGGCATGAAGCTACATGCTCACTATACTGGGCATAAACAAGCAAAACAATAAAAATATCCCCTCACACCTTTGTAGAGTAATTACACAAGAATTCCCTGCATGGGCCTCACTAAAAGTCAATGAGGCATGTGGAGCAGTCATATATCCCCATTTTGCCAATGAGTACACACAGACGTGGAAACAGAACCTTTCAGTTACAGAGCTTATTATGGACAAAAGCAAAAATTAAAATCCAGGTCTTCAGCTGCTAACCAATGCCCCTTTTACCACTCCATCATTCATTCACTTATTCATTCATTCAATATTTACTGATAAACCGCTATGTGCTAAGCATTAGGTTCTAGTCAATGATAATTCAGCATGGTCAATCAAATAAAAATTCCTCACGAAATGTACATTCTAATGCAAAGGGAAGGGAAAGACAATAAACAAGATCAAATTTACAGAGAGCAGGAGGACTGTGTCAGTAAATTAGTTAGAAGGTAGTAAGTGCTAGAGAGGAAAGGGGATAGGGAATGTGGGAGGGCTGTAATTGTAATACAGGGACTGGAGAAAGTCTCACTGAGAAGTGAATTTGAGATAAGATCTGAAGGAAATGGGCCTAACATGCAGCTTTCTGAAACAGCTGGAAATGCTGGGACATCCAGCATTCCATACTGCAAGTAGGCCCCATGAAACAATCCTAAGGCAAGAAAGCATCCACTGCGCTCAGAGAACAGCAAGGTGGGCTGGTTGGGTAGAGCAGAGTGACCTGTAGGAAGAATAATGGATGTCAGGAGGTAAGAAGAACAATCCTGTGTAACTAAACATGGCTTATTACCTAAGAGAAAGTAGAAGACATCAGAGGACTTTAAGCAAAAGAGCAACCTGGTCTTATTTACATTTTAACAGGATCACTCTGGATGCTATGCCAAGAAGCAACTAAAGAGAGAGGTGGAAGTGGGAAAGCTTAACACTCAGAGTAACCGTTTCTAATAACGAATTTTAAGTTCTGTGCATGGTAACTCCCCTTTGTTACTCTCTGATTCCTATTTTCATCATCTGGTCTAAATCCAGCTGTAAGGATTTAGAAAGAGGGACTATATCCAATGACATGCTGATAAATGTTTAACAAGAGACTAAAAAAAAAAAAAAAAAAAAAAAAAAAACAATTTTAAAAAAAAAAAAAAAAAAAAGCCTTGATTTGTAGCGTTTGCCAATTTCCAAGGTGTAAATATTCCTCCATGACTGATTTCAAGCAGTGATGCCACTGAATGTGGAGTTGAGACATATTCACCATTATACAGTATTTATACAATACAGACCCAATATAATCTCAAGAGCATAAATAGTAAAACATGGGAAAATAATTAGGAAGGGATTCATTTTGAGTATATTAACTGTCTTTTGTTTTTAATATAACTTAAATTGTACATTTACATAATATAACTTTTAATAATGGCTGTATTTAACCACTGGCTCACAAAATTCCTGAAGATTTAACAATCAGCTCTTGTGAATCAGTATGGGCCAGTTCCAAGATACCACAGCCTAGGTCCATGCCGGGAGCAAAGTGGTACAAGACAGCAGAAGCCACCTGAAGGATAATGCACTCAACGTGGCATGAGAGAACTTGCAGAAGGGCAGGGCAGTAGTCCACTAGTCACGCAACCATGAGAACAGACTGGAAAAGCTGGCTGGCACTCCCTGGAACCCCCCTGGGTATTTAGCAGAGGTATCTGAAAGAAGCCTGAATTTATCGTACATGATAGGGGGCACGTACCATAATTGATTCATACCAAACCTCCTGCTGAAGATAACAAAAAAAGTTGAGAAAAAACAAAAGCATCTTCATCAAAGTATCAGTGAACTAACAAGGCAGTGGGGAATGACTGGTCAAGATCAAAAAGAGAATTAGAACTTAATAACTATCTCAAGGCCTAGGATAATGCTATTCTTCTCCAGACTCTATATTTATTTCCTTATACCAGCTGTTGAGGATAGAATGAAGGCCTGATATTTTCTGGGTTAGCCAACTATCCTGCTATGACAGAGTCTGTGACCTCACTGCTGGGAGGCTGCCTTTGGGTCCCAGCCCGGAGTAGGAAGGGTTTCATCATGATCTCTACCCTTGATGGGCACTGAACCTTCTCCCTTCAGCCCAGGAAACTACTGAAGGCACAGCTCAGTCTGTGAATTGCCCCCTGTAGATAATCAACACTCCCAAGGTACATGGTTCAGAGCAGTGTGACCCTACAGGGTCCCAGCCCAGAGCAGCAGTTGTGACAGGGTCCCAGTATCCAATTCCTATCTATCCTCAAGAGTCTACCAAAACTGCAGCTCAGCCTCTGTATCTCCCTTCTGATGAGTGAATGTGTCCAACCCTACTTCTAGATACATATGTTCACAAATGTCTATCTTGGTGCAGCAGGATACACATAAAAATACTCATAGCAGCTACTGGTCGTAATAGTCCCCAAACATCAAGTATGGGATAAAGATATTATCACCTATCGATACAACAGAATACTGTAGAATAATGAAAAGCAAAGAATTATAACTATATCCAAAATCATAAATGAATAAAAACTACACATAATATTGAGCAAAAGAAGCCAGATACAAAGGCATAATTGCATTTAAATACAGTGCGAAAGTATGAAAATCTACTCCTATGTTGTTCTGGAACTCCTAATCACATAGTAAAATTATAAAACAGAAGAAACGTGACTATAAGATGGCAGGGTAATGGTCACCTCTAGAGGATTGGAAAAGAGGTCTCAAGGAAAAACCGGGGAGCTCTTGAGTGTTTGGAAATGTTATATTTATCGCAGTGGATCATGGTACATGGGTGCTCATTTCATAACAATTTAAGCTGATATTTACATACTTTTTAATATATTTGTTAAACTTTGCAAATAATAAAAAAATTAAAAATTAAACATGTGACCTTATTTTATAGTTATAGCCCAGTGAGACTTCAGAAAGTAGGAAGATACCAAAAATCCTGATGCCCAGGCCACACCCCAGGCCAGTTAAATCAGTATCTCTGGGAGAAGGATCTAAGTTTTGGTCATTTTACATTTTTCCCAGGTAATTCCAATGTGACACCAAGATTGGGAATTACACTCACTTTCTTTTTTTTTTTTTTTTAAATCAGAGCAGCCAACACAAATCTTCAACCCGTTGATGATGGCATCTGACAGTTTCAGCTATTAAGAAGAGAGAAAGAATCTGAGAAATTATGGCATACTCAACTGTGGACAGCTGAGTCTGGCATAGTGTGCCCTCATCATCACAAACAGGCTCGCATTACAAGCTACACTTATTCGACAACTATCAGCATTTGTCAACTGGCACCCAGATTTGAAGCCTCATTTCACAACTGGAGCAAGAGAGGACAGGAAGGAAAAATCAGAATAAGGTTTCAATGAGTTTCTGCAAATTCTCAGAAATCAGTGTCACAATAACAAAAAGAAAAAAAATAGCTGATATTTACTAAACATCTACTCTGTGCCATTTTAAGTGCTTTACATATAGCGTCTCATTAAATTTTAACAATCCCATGAGGTAGGTACTGTTAACAGTTCTCAGTTTATAAATGGGAAAACTGAGGGCTATCAAGGTTAGGAGATGGCTCAATGTCATACCTTAAATGCAAAGGTTTTCTCCAGGATGTGCTTATTTCACATTGCATGCCTGTATCAAAATATCTCATGTACCTAATAAATACATACACCTACTATGTACCCACAATTTTTTAATTACATTTTTAAAAACCCAAAGGGGAAAAAAAGGTTTTCCAAGTGTAGTTCAGAACCTTTTAGGGGATCCATTATGTCAAAACTATTTTCAGAATAATACAAAAAGTTATGTATTTACCCTTTCACCCCATTCTCTCATGAGTGTATATGATATGTGACATCACAGCTGGCTGAATGCAGGTGATATGAGAACCCAGGTGTTTTCTATTATGTTAACTAGTTTTACAAAAGTGTGAAACAATGGCATTCTTCCCATTAACTTGTTTTTGTTTCAGAAAATATAAGCATTTTTCTTAAAAATATGTTACTTTTGTAAACGTGTCATGGGTTCACCATTTTTTAACAAATTAATAAAAGTGTTTAGATTTTTTTCTTCATTTTCATTCCTAAGATGATAAATATTGATAGTGGGGTCCTGAGATCACAAAGTTTGAGAACTGTCAGCCAAGCAAGTGTCAGAGCCAACTCCAAGCCTATGAACTTTAGTGCCCACAACATTGACCACTGCATGAAACCACCTCTCTCAATCAGTGGTGTCATTTGGAAAGTTTCCTTGGCCTGGCATGGTGGCTCATACCTGTAATCTCAACACTTTGGGGGGTCGAGGCTAGTGGATCACTTGAGCTCAGGAGTTCAAGACCAGCCTTGGCAACATGGTGAAAACCTCTCTACCAAAAATACAAAAAATTGGCTAGTCGTGGTGGTGTGCACCTGTGGTCCTGGCTACTAGGGAGGCTGAGGCAGG